GAAGGTCAAGCGCAAAAAGTAGGCTTAGTATTTCATGAGAAGAAAAATAAGTTTATAGAGTGGTCAGATAGGATTTTTGAGAAGGGAGATGCCTAGAAATAAATTCTGTGAGACCAAAAAAAAAACGAAACAAGTTGGAGGAAGTAGTACATTCACCTATCTAGGAATGGTATTTATAAGGAATCCAAATTTTTGTTCTAAAATGGTTAATCCCGTTTATACTTTTCGACGAGCACAAACTTTTATAAGGAATTAATTTTTATCAAAAAGTTATTAATAAAAAAGTCCTCTTGACAATCTGGGGACATACTGTATATAGGGTGATTTACAGCGATGGCACGTTAGACTTTATAGAGAACCGGTGATTTGTGGATTTTTACACACAATATTATTACACACATTTTACACATTTAAGGCATCTGCTCCATCTTTCTAAAATATTTTCAGCATTACAGTGTTGTAATATAGCCAGCCCGTATATTTTTTCTTTTTACTAGTCTTCTTATTGAAACTATAAAATTCTCAGGTACAAAACTAGGCGAAGCGCCGTGTTGTGACAGTCTCGAATGACAATAAAATTTTCGAATAAATGTCAAAACAATATAGGGGGCAGTATTGCGCGGTTGTGGGGTGCAATAACACTCAAAACAACCCTCCAGGAACAGTATTTTACACCTTCCCAACTGTACCACATCGCATTGAACAAAGGCAAAAATGGATTGAGGCAGTTCGCCGAATAAAGTGAGTAACATATTACCCAGTAACATAGTCAAAAAAATAATCAGCATAAATATGCTTAAAGAGAAAATATCATTTGATATCAATATTAATGGTATACCTTTTTTTAACCAACTAGTGTTGAATTTTGTTATGAATGCCTTATGAAGCCACTTGTGTACGATACCGGTCTTCAGATTTAGCAAACCGCTGTTTAAAATCTACGTATATATACAGGGTGGTCCGAACTGTATTCCGGAAACTTCTGCAACATATTCTGCAGATAAAAATAAGTAAAAAAGTTCTTATAAATGTATGTCCTAAAATGCTTAGTTTCGGAGATACAGGGTGTAGAAGTTTCATTTTTATTCGATTTTTTCTATAATATATATAAAATATATAATATTTCTATATATAAAATTTCCGAAGTAACGTCAATATTTGGATGAAAATTGGTGTCTGAGAGTTTTTTGACATGAGAAGTTTGATATCGATGTCAATATGGCTCCTACCTTTGGCTCCTACTTGTAGAGGGCGCCACCTATCTATTTTTTAACTGGTTTGAAGAGTAATAACTTTTTGTCCGTACCTGTATAAAACTAGCTAGTTAAAAAATATACATTTACGATGTTTTTTACGTAAAAAAGGTCTCTTGGTAAAATTCGCTACTAAATGGTTCTCGAGATATTTGGAATCGAAATTACCAATACCTGTCAGCATTGACATAATTAAACATGTTGACTAATTAGTTATTAGACTAAAACTTTGAATAAGAAGACTAAGGAAGGAGCATAATGCTATCCATGTATTCATGCATGGTGGGCGGAAAAAGCACCATAAAAGCACTCTAGGGTGGGAATCATTGACAGTTCTGTTTGACGATTCATTTGACACATTTGAATTTGATTTGAAATTTTGTGGATTTGTCAGTCTTTACGGAGCTTATTTTATGTTATTTATTATTTATTCTACTACTGATAGTTGTATAAAGGTAGTAAATCTAGATGGAAATTGTGGCAGAACTTAAATTAACAATGACATTATCGCGATTTATCGAAAAAGTTTCTAAAATAGTTGGTTGTGTAGCGTGCGGTAGATCTCGGCAAAAATTGAGTGAAATAATGGAACAACTTTTCGCTAGTGAGTGACTATATAATATACATACGTGTAGTAAACCGATCATTTATGAAATTCACTTAAATTAACTAAATTATATATTTTTCTTGCATTTTAGCTTTTATTTATTACTTGTCAAAGATTAGATGTCAAAGAAGAACGTTAACAAATTAACGTATCTAAATTCTTTGACATCTAATCTTTGACAAGTAATAAATAAAAGCTAAAATGCAAGAAAAATATATAATTTAGTTAATTTAAGTGAATTTCATAAATGATCGTAAGTCAAAACTTACCTGCTTCAGTAGCGTATCGGATGTTTGTGTTAATAAATACTTATTATAACTTATCTATTTTTATTAGAATTATATATTTTTATAACAATTTTAATAACTACCAACATTTGTTCACAACGTAAAATAAAACAACAAATTATTGAGTCTACCCCCACGTCTACCCTACATCATAGTTTTACATTTTTCAAATAAAATTAGAACGACACTGATAAACCGGAATTTAAGTCGGCCATATTTGAGGCCCATCGCGGTGTACCTAAGATTTTTGATATGCTCCTTCCTTAGTCTTCTTATTCAAAGGACTAAAGTCATAAATTTGTTGTGCCAATGTTTTTGTGCCAAAAGTTCAACAGAAACTGTTTTATCGTCGTTTTGCGAAGAAAAATTTATGATTAGTTTAAAAAAATAAAAAAGTTCCAAAATTTCTCATTTCAGTCAAATAACTATCTACTCAACATGTTTATTTTTAGTCAATAATGACATGTATTGACTATTTCCAATCTAAATATCTTGAGAACGGTTGCTCGTAGCGATTTTTACCAAGAGACATTTTTTAAGTAGAAAATCACGGAAATGTATATTTTTTCACTCAGTAGTTTTATACAGGTACGGACAAAAACTTATTACTCTTCAAAACAGTTAAAACACATGTAGGTGGCGCCCCCTACAAATAGGAGTCATTTTGACATTAAAATCAAATTTCTCATGTCAAAAAACTACCAGACACCAATTTTCATCCAAATATTGACGTTACTTCAGAAATTATTTGGAAAAAATCGAAATAAAAATGAAACTTCTACACCCTGTATCTCCGAAACTAAGCATTTTAGGACATACATTTATATGAACTTTTTTACTTATTTTTATCAGTAAAATATGCTGCGGAAGTTTCCGGAATACAGTTCGGACCACCCTGTATATACATACATGAACCACTTTACGGACCACGTTGCTTGTAATGGCTGAGGAGTCGGTATTTAGTGTCTCGCCACAGGCTTAAACATATAAGAGCAATTATAGCACGTTAAAAAAACGTGTCGAGTACCTACACTACCTCATAGGTGGCGTGGAAATGTGTGTATAATATACAGGGCGATTCCTTTAAGTCGATCATGCTTTCGGGGAATGATAGGGGTCGAAATATTAATTTTGATATAGCACATTATGGGTCGGAAATGCCTCTTACACAAGATATAGGGTGTTAAAGTTTTTGAAAAATTAAATATATCCTTTAATAGTTTTTTTAACAGTTGAAGGTATCGTTATAAAATTTTATTATAGGAGTCTACTTAACAAAGCCACTTTAAATATAAAAAGAAGAGGTTTTAGTTTCAACCAGTGGCATAGATGTTACCGCTGAAAAAAAAAGAAAATTGAATTTTTAGAGTTTTTTTTTTACTCCGTTTATTTCCAAGAAAAGATGTCTCTTGCAACTTTCTCGTATCTAACACCATTTTGTCACAATTTAAAAATAAATTTTTTAATGAGAATCTTAAATATAGCGAATTATTATAATTATAGGGCAGAAACACATGTGCATCGTTAGCTCCCTTCATCACTTACATGTGAATTTAAATAGGCGAAGATTAGAGTTACACACCTTGGGCAACTTTAGTACTTTTTGCTATTAGCTCCTTAAATATATTTTTAAAAAAATTATAAATTTAAACTAGATTTTTTTTTATTGTTAATAATAAAACTCTTAGTTTTAAGGTAGTTTAATAATTGGCATATTTAATTAAGGTTCTCATTAAAAAATATATTTATTTTTAAATTATAATAATAAATATATAAATAAATAAATAAAATGGTATTAGATAGGGGAAAGTTGCAAGAGACATTTTTTCTTGGAAATAAACCGAGTAAATAAAACACTCGTATCACATCTACGTCACTGGTTGAAACTAAAACCTCTTCTTTTTACATTTAAAGTGTCTCTGTTAGGTAGACTCCTATAATAAAATTTTATAACGATACCTTCAACTGTTAAAAAACTATTAAAGAATATATTTAATTTTTCAAAAATTTTAACACCCTGTATCTTGTGTAAGAGGCATTTCCGACCCATAGTGTGCTATATCAAAATTAATATTTCGACGTTCCCCATCATTCCCCGAAACCCACTTACAGGAATCACCCTGTGTAGAACATAACTCGATCGACATTTTTAATCGCAATATATCAGAAGTGATAATTCTTAGGAGAAAAAGTGTAAGGACCATTGTTGTAGATAATTTTATAATTTACAATTTTGGTCGGAACAATTTTTTGGAAAAAGCTTACCGTTTACGAGAAAAATCCCAAAAACCGAAAATTTTGACATTTGACATTGAATAACTTTTTTAGCAGACGTGGGATCGATGGGGACTTTTTTTAACTTCTTTATAATGGTAAACCCAAGGTCTCAGCTTTGTCGGAATTTTGGTAATTTGACACTATTTTTATAGCTAAATTGACCACATTTTGCTGAATGTTAGGCCACATTTTGTGGAATGTTAGTTAGTATTTAAATAGGCTGTACTTAAACTGCCGTTAAACGGTAGCCTACTGAAATGCCGTTAATAGGTATGACGTCGTTGATGTGACGCACTTGACGGCTTTTTAATGGTTTGGTTAAAATGCCGTCGAACGGTCGCGTACTAAAATGCCGTTAATCGTTAATGCAGAGTAGGCTACTGATTAATACTTAATAATTTGTAATGTAATGTTGTCCAAAATCCGTCATGCCTTATTCTGAATAAAATTAACTTGGAACGGTGTATATGTAGGTAGTTGTCACAATTTAAAAATAAATTTAAAAAAATAAATATGTTGCCGTTGTAGGTTTGAAAATGTATTTGCGATAAAATGTAATATATTGCATTAGTTTTTAGGTATTTATTGCAAATTATAAATTGACAACTTAAAAATAATACTACGTCAACTAAAAATAATAATAATGCTACAGATAGCATTCTCTGCAAAACCACAGTTTTGATTTAGGTCGCTTAGTCAATCCTGCACAACGGATATGTCTCCATAGAAGGCATTTACTGCAACAAAGTGACATATGATTTTTCTGCGTGTCTTCACTGCACACAGAACAAAACCAACTTTGTTGAAGTCGTTTCTGCTCAACTAGATTGGTTATTTTTTCAAAGGCTTTCTCGGTGCAAAAATTTCTAAAAATCGTAATTTACATTATTAGTTATTAATTTGGTAATTATTAGCTATCGCTAGACTTACCTTATCATGTGGATATCAACAGCCTCATCAAGAACGGCATGTGATATTTCTTCGGGGAGCATTTTAAGGTCTACAGTTTCAAGAAATTTCCCATTTGTGATGTCTCTAACGATGTTACGATCCTTAACGAAGCAATTCAGTATTACATTTTGTTTTTCATGATAGGATTGTTTAGCAAATGCTACAGTACATCTTTTGTTTTTCTTTGGTAGTCCTATGACTGTTAAGTCCTGTCCTTTTGGACGCCCTCGTTTTTTTATTGAAACAGGCATCTTAATTGTTGTCAAAGCGAAATCATTGACTTCAACTATCTGATGGGACTGGTTGTTGACGTCATTTAAAACTGAATCACTAATATAGGAAAGTTGATGCGCTTCATCTCGTGTCATTTCCTCCTCTATAACCAGCTCGTTACAAAACTCAGGTGCTTCCACAGGTGACTGACCAAGAGTTGATGTATTTCTATTATCTAATATGAGCGCTTCACTCATATTGTTTCTGTCTTGAAGGTCCGTCTCGTCACAAACCTCAGAGTGTTCCACAGAAAACTGATTTTTACTTTCAAATACAACTGCATCATCATAATTTATATGTAGCATTTACTGCAAGAAATTCTGGAAAAGCCTTCATTGTACTTTTCATGGTTGGACTTTGAATGAAAAGTCTTCTGAAATTATTGTCTTCGTCTCGCAAAACAGCTACATTGGCACCGGAAAACAGTTATTGGGACTAATAAGACGATAATAGAATATTTTAGTTTACCGTATTTAGCTTTAAATATATTTAAGCAGCCATCTAAGTTTTCTTTTCTTGATTGATCGGATATTTTCATATTTGTTAAATCTTGTAAAGTAACAATTTTACCAGTACTTTCTTGAACTTTTTGCTGTATCATTTTTCTATTGGCCTTCATATTCAAATAATCCTTGACGCTTTCCTACATGTTACTGGAAAGTTTTCTTTGGCTAGGGTTATGTGCATGTAGGACCCACAAAATATATCTTTTATGAATAAAATACTATTCAAGCAAGAATTCTAAAAGCATGCTGTATGTCAACCATGTCAACTAATGTGTAAACTTACCTTCGAAGTGACATTATTGTGCTTCATTTGAACCTTTGAATAAGATTTGAACCGATGTTACCTTGAGTGCTTTTCCATCAGACGATGCTTTGAATCTTACATGTACTGGGCAATCTTCTTTAAATGTCCAAGACTGTCGAATTTTTTTCCCACTGCCCTTAAACTTCTTTCCACCGTGATTACATGCATATAGAAGTTGATAATAAATCAAAGAGCTTTCTATTGGTCTCACAATTTTACTGCTTGCAATCGTACGGGCATCTCGTTTCCAAAATGTTGTGTAGGTTTTTTCACCAAGTTCCTCAATCGCTTTCTTTGCGTCAGCGAATGAGCTGAATCTATTCCCAATTTTCAGCATGCTAATTTCAGTCATGAAAAATAATTAGGTACCTAACTAACCTAAAAATGTTTATAGATAAATTAACAATCAGAAAACTAACTGAAACACTTACTCCAACCTGAACCGATAATATCCAGATGTACACCTTAATTAAAATCAACTTATAGCACTTAGCACAAATTGTTACTACAATAATAATGCAAACGCGACGAAAAAAACATACCAAAAGGACAACGGAAAACGGAACACAAATTGATTAACGGCATTTTAGTACGCGACCGTTCGACGGCATTTTAACCAAAGCGTTAAAAAGCCGTCAAGTGCGTCACATCAACGACGTCATATCTATTAACGGCATTTCAGTAGGCTACCGTTTAACGGCAGTTTAAGTACAGCGATTTAAATATTATAATTGGAAAGAGACCTTGATTGTAATGTTAAGGATTTTATACTTTAGGAGCATCAATTATTTGGAACAGTAAATTAGAAGATTATAGCAAGATTAAAGCATAATAAAATAGACCTTTTTTATATATCTCAGGTAATAATGGGTGTATCTATAATTTTTTCTTTAGATTCTTTCATGGCAGGTGAATTATTAATAATATAGTCATGTTATTTCACGTCTATTTTGAAACTATATCTAGGGGATTTTCTCGATTTATTTTGGTGTTCTAATTTGTGTTAGCTGACGGACACTGGTTTCGGACACAAGTGGCTGTGAAAGTGGCTTTATATGAAAGTGCTCTTAAAGGCGCATTTATACGAGTCAAGTCAACTGATCAAGTCACTTGAATTAATTTCGCGTGAATGTAATATGACCACCTAAACTCGACAAATCATGTCAGTTGTTAAGATTCATGTCTCATTTGAGTATGGTTTAACTTTTGACGTTCAAGTGGGGTTTCTAAAATTGCCGCCAAGTAGGAGGCCAGAAGAAAATTCTGTAAAGCTTATTAATATTTATCAAAAATACGGATGTATATGGAACTCACAGAATCCGATATATAAAATTAGGCAAAGATTAGTTATTTCTAGCTTAAATGGAGGAGAGATTGCGTTACGCATTAATGTGCCTTGTTTTTAATTCTTGATGCAACTTTTTTTAACAAAGAATTAAATTGGTATGCATTCACCCTTAAATTTTTTTTCTAATCTCTAGGATCTTCTAAGTGTAGCATAGGTATTAAATTATTATTAGGTGCATCATAAGTAGTTCTGTTATGAGTAAATCGATGACGGCTAAACCATTTTCTGATATACAGGGTGTTCCAGAAATAAGTGCAAGTATTTTAAGGGGTGGTAGATCTTGCCAAAAGAAACATATTTTCTCTTTACAATTTTTAAAATAAATTGATAATAATCTAGCAGCAATTGATAATCAGCCGTAAATATCAAGCAATTACCAGAATCTCAGTTTGTTCGACGCCCAGTATTGACACCGACTAGAATGATTTAAGAACGACTTGAAAAGTTCAGATTAAAAGTAAAAAATTTTCATAACATTAGAAAATGGGACTCTGATAGATAGCAGATCGATGCAATTAGGTTAGAGCGTCGTTTTATCACTTTACCTAAACTCGCAACTCTACACTCAACAACACTTCATTTCACTGCGATTCTTAACAGCACTACACTTACACGTGTATTTGGCACAAAATACATTCATATGCCATCTGATCATGTTATTTAGGATTATTTTTTGAGAATTCGATCTCACACTCTTGTGAATAAGCACCAAAATAATTGATATTTCTATTTGAATAAGAAAAGTATTTTTACATTTACCTATTTTTTTTTAGTTTTTTAGGGGTTTACTGTTTTGAGTAAAATCTCAAATGAATTGGATAACCTAAAAATGCCACCAGCTGATCTGTTTAAATGTAGGTCAAACGTTGACTATTTACATATCTAATAGAGGACGGTGACTGTGAACTGTTTCTGAAAGCTGCTATAATTGTTAATTATTTAGTTTCATTATTTCAGTTTACTAAACTGTAGAAAAGGAAAGGTGGGTGTACCATGGACGGTCATGCTCTTTTGAAGGCCAACTATAAAAAAGTCATAGTTATTGTCATGTGATGACATATTCCTTTCACTCACACTAAGCTCCATTAAACTCAAGGACAAAAACGCGGCGAGTCGCTCGCGTCGTTATTTTTTTAGTGCGGTCCCTCGCTTCGTAGACTTCGGTCGTCTATTGTAATTTCATTCTAAATCGCATTGGCAACTTATTTGTTATCTATATAATACTCATTACTATAATTTTTAAATAATTTCCATTAATATATTCTTAGTTATACGATTGTGCCCAAAGAATGTTCGTTGAGTTTTTTAAAGGCGGTTATAATATGTTAAGCATTTAATTTCTCGTGTAAATGAAAGAGTTTTTTTATGTAGTTTTAGTAAAAGCGGATATTTTGATTATTACAACTCTAGTTTTAAGTTGAACGTCTGAATAATATTGGCTTTGTATTAAGCTCTGTTCCTTGCAAGGCCGTTTGGAAGAGCTTAATAAAAGTTAAATTTAATAAATACTGATTACATCTAGAATAAAAAAATAATGTCTATGTTACACAATAAAACAAAGTGTTAATTAATAATTTGTTTCTTTTATTTATCCAGTAAATGAACTAATAAAAACTGTTTATTCGTTACAGTGGCCTTCCATGGTCCACCCGCCTTATTTAAAACACAGTAGACGTTGCAATATAATAATATATACCCCGCTGGCAAGCGAACCTTTGGGTCGGCGTTTACATGTATAGGAGTGAGTCGTTATGGCAATCTAGTAAGTCCGAGTGAGCAAAAGTACGAAATATTTATTACATAACTACTTAATCTGACGCTAGATTCCATGTGCTTGGGAAAATACTCGCCTTCTGTCTTTATTCAGTACATCTTATTTTACTAAGCGTGTTGACCGTACTCTTCGTACACATGAAAACCGGCACGCAAGACCAGAAAGGCCGATCCTCAGTATGCTACTTAATAGTAATCTACAATGATTAAAAAATACACAGTGAATAAAATTAATTAAGTTTTTTTGTAGAAATTTAAATATGTGAACTTATAACTTATAAAAATACATAATGTGGATAACGTAGGAGGTAGCAACATCGCATTCTTTCGAAGGACTATAAACAAATTTCCGGAAACTGAACAAGCAGTACTCAAAAGTTTTTCAATAATAAGTTTTCGGAAAATATAAAAATTTCAACATTTTTTTTTCGCAAAAAATCATCATGAGCGTGTTTCTGGGATCGAACTATACCACCAATTATAATAGTTGCACTTATTTCTAAGACACCCTGTATATTTTTCTTTTAATTCTGGTGTTTTTAAATATACAAACTTTCTGTAAATTCTAGTGTTAAAATATTCATAGTTTGAAGTACAGCCTTATGCACTGCCGCCATATTGAATCAACTAACAGCAGGTTTTTGATGTCAAATGTGTAAACAGGGAAAATTCCTTCAAGTCGGTTAACTTCCTGTGATTTGATCAGATCACTTGACTCGTGAAAACTCGTTAAACGTTTCTCGTTAAAGCTTAAATTGGAATTGTCACTTTTTGTCACGATTTTCGTTACAGTCCAGATGGATCTCTGTGGCAACCTACGAAATATTCTCGAATTTGTAGCCGTCATTTTATCGGCAATGCCAAATCATTTCATCCAAAAAGTCCCAGTTTTGTACCAACTATTTTTCCTAAGATTTGCGGAACAGAAAGAAAAAATGGAAAAACTGCCGCAAAAGACAGGTGAGTAAGAATGTGATGAAATAATTTTAAACAACTGATTGAATACTATTTCATCGTTATTTTTACATTACGTTCACATGATACAGTATACCGGGTGTTTTTCAAAAGTGGCTCAACTCTATAACTTTATTATTTTTTCAGATAAAAAAACGCGATTTAATATGTTAGTATATGCCATAAATTAGGATTGATTGACGTATTCAATTAGTTTCGTTCACTTCTTGTTTCACTGGAAATGACTACAACTTTTGATTTTTAAATGGTACCCTCTGTATATTTTTACTTTATTTGGTAGAAAATGGTATGCTTAATGGAAAGACATACAATATGTATGTAAACTTTTGTCGTTTTCGCTTAAAAAATAATGTTTTAAATTTCAATCTAGATAGTGCCACGCCCATAAATGTAACAACAATTTGACTCGAAATACCAAGTATGTGGTACCAAATATAATACGAAGCATGTAAATACCAGGTATGCAGACATTATTCGCTAAAAAATGTTTTTTTCGGGATATGCTAATGAGTCATCCTCATTCGGTTTGAAAAAATGTTGTTGAAAGAACTATCCAAAATTAAAAGGCTAGAGCTCACAATCGAAATGCACCAAGAACAGAAACCAGGAACTACAACGACGACGAGGATGAGCTTCCCATTGCCGAAATGCTGAGAAGAGTAAAAATTGAGTCTTTTGGAGGTTAAACTGCAGAAGGCATTACAACAATATTTGTCCGATATCATTTCTCAAGAAATGTAATCATATGCAAATGACGGGTGAACGTCTGGAAACTCCCTCGTGTTATTGTTTCATTACAAGAGTGTGAACTCAATTGAAACAAACTGTTCATTCAAGCCGGTTCGAGGCCGGATGAAATGGGATAATCTCGTAAGAGTCGATTTAGGCAGTCGGGAAGCGGGCAATCGCGGTTCGGATTCCGCGTAAACGAAGTAGACCTCGTCTAGATTAGCCCGAGCAGGTTACCTTAACCTCCACATGACCTCCACTTTGGAGATGTTCCGCATACGTTCGTTCTAATGTTATTCGGAATTTTTAGTTGCTATTAAACTTACCCCAGAATTGGGGATGTATTTTTAATTGTCGTTTGAGATTGTCACAAAATCACAAAATTGAATAGAATATCGGCCGTAAAAGACAATATTTTTTAAATAATTTACAATTTAGGTTGAAATTGACACTGAGTGGCAGTGCATAAAAAGATTAAAGGAGAGTATAAAACTATCCACGCATTCACGCATTAGAAACGGAATTGACATCACGAACCACGATTTTTTGGCAGTGTTTTGACACAGCCCCTTTGACACATTTGAATTTGATTTGAAAATTTGCTGGATTTGTTATGCTTTTTTGAGCTTATTTTCTGTTATTTATTATTCTACAATTGGGTTTGTATAGAGGTAGCAAATCGAGATAAATAAGGGAATAAATTTTACTGGTAACTATCGTATACAGATATACGGTGATTGACGGCCATGGTACGTTAGATCTTTATGGAGAACCGGTGATAGGATTTTTTTTAAATTTGGATTTTTGCATAAGGGCACCTGCTGCATCTGTCTAAATTATTTTCAGCGTTACAGTGTTGCAAACATTAAAAGTGGTAGCATCTCTGTTATTTTAAATGGAACACCTGGTATATTATTGTTACGGATTCCGTGGGTCCACTAATTTAAACTCACGATAAAATACTTAACGAATTTATTTTCTCACTTTATACACAATTACTAACTTATAACACACAACAAACTAACTATTTATAAGATTCCTTCACCAAATTGTCCGATTTTCAATTTCCACGCGGTATATTCAAATTTCAAAAACTGTCTCAGTTGTCGATGGCTCCGGCTTATATACTCTATTGACTGCTTCTCGAAATTTCCCCAATTCTCGGAAAGCGTACTTCTTCATACCAGACAATTCTATTGTCTGATTCCCTTACTTCTCGACTTGACTAAAAGATGGCGCCTGAAAAAGTCTTTTAATTTCTGGCGGATACGTTGCGGTTGTGCAGGCAACCAGTAATACATTTTTAATTTCTGGCGGATGCGCCATTTTTCTTGACATTATTATATTTTTTAAAACTACTTTTATATCTCATACTTTTTGTATTATACTAACCTATACCTATCTCTAACAGTTTTCTTTTAAAGTTAAAAAATAAAACGTGTAAAATTGACAAAAACACGATCGTGAATAAGCGTTGGTTAAATCATAGTGTCATCAAGTTTTTATCATATTATACAAGGTGTCCGAATATTGCGCGGACATAGAATATTTGCCTCTACACAGAAGTGCTTTGCTTGTCCATTAGAGGGCATCAAACTTTAAAAAAATTGCTTAAAAACACATTGTTTAAGGCATTTTAAAAACCGATATTCCGATTTGAATGAGTCTCTATGTTTTGCTAGGCTCTTTAACATATGACTTTCACAAAAACATAGAAAGGGTGCGAGAAGGGTGACAACTACCCTCACTTCTACACAAATTCTAGTAGAAATGTTTTGAAACTTTTTTTTTAAACGATCGATGACATTTCCCATCTTCATTTCACAGCCATCGCTGACACCGTTTTTGTTCGATCATACGGTATTTACTACATTATTTGTGTCTTGTAAAAAAAGTCACCATAGTTTCCTAGAAAAAAACATATTTTTCCGAAGCTGACATACAAAAAATACTTATTGTTACTTTAGTCCAAATGGCTCAAAAATCAGGTTTTCGCAAATATCTGCCAAAATACACAATTTACAAATTTTTTCTTGGAATATAAAATGAGGTTTTGGTGTGCGAGTGGATACCGTGCTTCCATGGCAAGAGTGTAAAAATCTGTTGACACACACTGCTCATTCACGCCCGTTCGAAGCCGGATGTAATCGGATATTTCGTGTGTAGAGTCGATCTAGACACTCGCAAAGTCGGTAGGTCATTGCCAATGATATGGCCGAGGACCGCGGTTCGGATTCCGCGTAAACAAAGGAGGCCCCGTCCAGATTAGCCTTAGCAGCAGAAAGGAGACGTTAACTTAAAATACTTTACTGTTTTAAATATTTTTATAATTTAGTTTGACACCCTGTATAAATCCACACCCTTGAATTGTGTACTTTTTATAAGTAGAAATGTTTAATTATTTTTAGCGACGACTCTGATCAACCAAACAGCTCAACTCACAGTGCCGGCAAGAATGACAATATAGAAATTTTCAACGCTGAGGATATGCAAAAAGAGGGTAAGTGATATTTTAGAGATGTGTTGCATTATTCATACTTTTTTCTCTTCTTAGGTATGCTTCCACTTCCAACTGATCCACTTGCAGTAGAAAATGCTGGAAAAAATTATATATTTATCAGTAAGATTTTTTTTTAATTTTTAATATACATATAGGACAATGATGAAGAAATAGTATAGATCTGACATTCAATTTATAAATTGCAATTTGTTTTGTACCTATCATTCGCTTTCTAGCAAAATGCTGATAGGAAAAAGGCTGAGATCATAATGCCCACTTGCACCGTTTGTATAAACTTTGTTTAAAGGCTAAACAGTGATTAACTATATAAAATCTTATTATTGTTAATCACTGTTTAGCCTTTAAACAAAGCTTATACAAACGGTGCAAGTGGGCATCAATCTCTTAAGGTGGATTTATATGCATCTGTCATCCGTTGAAACAATCATCCGACGGCGCTTTGATTGGTCATAGTGGTTTCGCGCCACTTTTCATCCGAAAATTGTTATGCACCAACGAAGAAAGTTATAATAAATTTAACATCTCGTACAATAACGGATGGTCTGACAACTCTAATATAACCTTACTTTTACTGTTGACAAATTTGAGACATTTAACCATTTAACGCTATTGGGAAGCGGTTATACGGTTTTCAGTTTATATAAATATAATTTTACATTTTAAAGATTAGTAAAAACTAAAGCGACCCATACATTATCAAACAAATTGCGCAACAAAGCGATGCCCAACGTTGCGTTGCACAAGTTTTAAATTACCCATACACTTGGCGAAATTTTCATCAAACTTTTTATTAAAAGTTGTGCATTATTCGAGAAACAACTGACGTCCCGCCAAAAAAACCGACTGGCAACTAAAATATTGCACAACGAAGCGCAACACACACACTACACAACGCGTTGCACGAACAGTCCCGTTGTATAAAAGAATTAAAACATTCTTGAAACTTATCAAACAATTGCGCAACGCATCAAACAGGGCGATATATTGGCAACTTGTTGCGTAACAGCCCGTGTTGCGCAATTTGTTGGATAATGTATGGGCCGCTTTACTAACGACTGGTATAGTCAGAATATTAGTGCTGTGCACAGCTTCAAAGGCCGTAAATGTTACAGAATATACCGTATGGTCGAAAAAAAACGGCGTCCAGTTGGCTGGGAAATGAACATCAATGACATTTCCCATATAAATTTACATATAAAATGACAGCGATCTTCATTCCATAGCCATCGCTGACGCCGTTTTTTCTGGATCATACGGTACTTATTGTTCTTGTCTTTTCAATAATTACAAAAAAAGAAAGCTGAAAGATACAGGATATTTTTAGATGCCGTCAGTACCAAGGCGCTTGTCAAAATTATTAAATGAAATGAGACACACTGACACTGAAAAACCATTTAATTTGTTAAGAATCTTTACTAATATTATAAACGCGAAAGTTTGTATGTATGGATGTTTGTTGCTCTTTCGCGCAAAAACTATTTAATGTATTTTAATGAAACTTTACAATAATATAGCTTATATATCAGAATAACACATAGACTATGATTTATAAAGATATTATGTAAATTGTCCAAAATATAACGATAAGAGTCAAGTAATGAATCCAGCAGGAAAAAATTCTGCCATTTGCGAGCTATTCTGGCGTGCGTGACCCGAACGCGTGCGCGTGTGGGCGCAGACGTTATTGACCGTCACCATTGTGTCCGTTTTGAGAATTTTCAAGGCACTTGCGATTTGTTAAAAATGCACTGTACCTATCTAATGTAATAGATGGGTATTGGCATTGTTCTTTGGTTAGGAGTTACACGTATTTATCTTTTTTAATAATATTATAATAATACCACGACGCATTTCTTAAGTATAAAGATAATTTCTGTTTTATTTTAGGTTACCTACCTTCCTTGTTTTAATAATAATAATCAGGGTTGGCATGATTTAAATCAAGTTATTTTTTTATTTTAATTGTGTGATTTAAATAAAAAAATCAACTTTTTTAAAACTTTATAATAAATCGAAAAATAGCTGTAAAAGTTATAAAAATGTGTCCTAGAAAACTATAAAGAATCTTTCTATGACAGAGGTATAGGTATAGGTAGGAGTATATAGGTATACCTACCCTATATCATCAAATAAAATATTACACTTGTTATTGTAACTTTTAAATAATTTAAAAAAATCTAAGAATAATTGTAAATGTTATAAAACTACATAAAAAATGATTTGTGATAATACATATACCTACTTCATATCTTCAAACCAACCTACCTAACCTAACCTACGTCATATCTATTCATCAGTTAAAATGTTGAACCGATTTTTTAAGTAATTTCGTGTGAATTCATTAGACCTGTAAATGGTAGAGATTTATTTTGAAAATTTATGTACAAATGACAAGCAATCCGCAATACATTTTATTCGCAAACTCTAGTGCAGAACTAGGTACTTCTGATGTAAGATTGTATCTTCATTCCCGAGAATCTATAATCGTTGTCAGAAAATATGCTGTTTTATATATTTTTTGAAACAGCTGTATGTTGATCAAGATAACTTCTGCCTTCTCCAATTTATCTTCTAGTTCTTTCCAAATTTCTACCGACATTTCGATCTGAAGTAAGTACTTTATACTTTGACGTTAGATAATACTATTTTATGTAGATTTATACTATTTCATTCTCGACTTAAGAATATTTCCGAACAATAGTGTATTTTTTATTAGGAGTAAAAATTATACTTTTTTGATGAGGCTGTCGTTTGACAGACCAGCGTAAAGCTAGTCTGACGTTAGAGGGAGGCACAAAAAGTATATTTTTACTCCGAATAGAACATACTATTTTTTTCAAACGTTACAAATAATTTTTAATCAATTTTAAATGTTGAAAATAATATAAAAAGTAATACCTTGTAAGTAATTATATATCGAGCAACAATTTGTACACTCCTTCAATTTTAGGTACAAAAGCGTTTTACTTTTATGCCTAGGCGTTAAAATGACAAAAATTAATACTTATGTGACTTTAAAAAAAAACCTTTTGATCTAAGCGAGCGATTTTTTTGCGGAATATATTGGTGACCGATATGGAAATACAACACGCCCCGTTGAATTGTTAATGTTTTCGACAGAGTTACGAAGATTTAGCCATTTAGGATAGTACTTTAACTGGAAATAAGTCTCAATTATTTGGAAATCCGATTTATATAATGTTTTCTATTAAAATCAAAAAAATCTGATTTAAATAAAAAAAATCTTATTTTTTTTTAAAATCATGATTTTTTCCAACCCTGATAATAATAGAATAATACTACGAAAGCGTGATTTTGTTTTTCAATTAGCAAATTAGAATTATTTTTTGCAGACAGGTATTGCATTTTTTTTAGTATAAAAATAATATAAAATAATAATAGCTACCGTATTTTTTAGAACTGTAAAAAACGTACCTACTAAGAATTATGCCGCGAAAACGTGTTTGATCTTTCCCAAAGCTCTAATAAAGCTCGAGCGATGAAAGTAGCTAGACGTAATAAGACGTTTGTACAAACCGAACTGCAAAGGCAGCGTTACGCAGCTCGCACAGCTGGTGAGACTCCGGGGCAGTCCCAAGCTCGGCGTCGACACCAAGCTGAATATATGGCATCTCGTAGAGCTGCTGAGACACCTGAGCAGTCCCGAGCTCGGCGCCAACAGCATGCTTAATATATGGCAACTCGCAGAGCTGCTGAGACACCTGAGCAGTCCCGAGTTCGGCGCCGACAGCATGCTGAATATATGGCAACTCGTAGAGCTGCTGAGACACCTGAGCAGTCCCGAGCTCGGCGCCGACAGCATGCTTAATATATGGCATCTCGTAGAGCTGCTGAGACACCTGAGCAGTCCCGAGTTCGGCGCCGACAGCATGCTGAATATATGGCAACTCGTAGAGTTGCTGAGACACCTGAGAAGTCCCGAGTTCGGCGCCGACAGCATGCTGAATATATGGCAACTCGCAGAGCTGCTGAGACACCTGAGCAGTCCCGAGCTCGGCGCCGACAGCATGCTTAATATATGGCATCTCGTAGAGCTGCTGAGACACCTGAGCAGTCCCGAGCTCGGCGCCGACAGCATGCTTAATATATGGCATCTCGTAGAGCTGCTGAGACACCTGAGCAGTCCCGAGTTCGGCGCCGACAGCCTGCTGAATATATGGCAACTCGCAGAACTGCTGAGACACCTGAGCAGTCCCGAGCTCGGCGCCGACAGCATGCTTAATATATGGCATCTCGTAGAGCTGCTGAGACACCTGAGCAGTCCCGAGTTCGGCGCCGACAGCATGCTGAATATATGGCAACTCGCAGAGCTGCTGAGACACCTGAGCAGTCCCGAGTTCGGCGCCGACAGCATGCTGAATATATGGCAACTCGCAGAGCTGCTGAGACACCTGAGCAGTCCCGAGCTCGGCGCCGACAGCATGCTTAATATATGGCATCTCGTAGAACTGCTGAGACACCTGAGCAGTCCCGAGCTCGGCGCCGACAGCATGCTGAATATATGGCAACTCGTAGAGCTGCTGAGACACCTGAGCAGTCCCGAGTTCGGCGCCGACAGCATGCTGAATATATGGCAACTCGCAGAGCTGCTGAGACATCTGAGCAGTTCCGGGTTCGGCGCCGACAGCATGCTGAATATATGGCAACTCGCAGAGCTGCTGAGACACCTGAGCAGTCCCGAGCTCGGCGCCGACAGCATGCTTAATATATGGCATCTCGTAGAGCTGCTGAGACACCTGAGCAGTCCCGAGTTCGGCGCCGACAGCATGCTGAATATATGGCAACTCGCAGAGCTGCTGAGACACCTGAGCAGTCCCGAGCTCGGCGCCGACAGCATGCTATAATTTCTATATATACATATATAGAAAAGTTATTTAGATTGAAAACTTTTATATAAACATAACAGCAGTTTGCATTAATTTTTAGAATTCTATTAGTATTCTTTGATTCTCTTTTATGATGTTTGTTCTTTTTTTAGAAACAGAAGATAATCTGGAGCCATCTGATACAAACGAATCAAGTGGTAAGTAACAGTTTGTAAGTTCTACACATATATTTTAAAAATATACAGGCTGCCATTAAAAATTGTTGCCTTAAGCTCATTTCAGAAAAAAAAGTGAAGTGATATTCAGTTTTTATATTTAATGAAAATTATTTGTTTCTGTATAGTCTATTGTTTATAATGATTAAAATTATACAGGGTGTCAGAAAATAATGTATCTAACTTTGGTGGGTGATTCTACAGATAAAAATGAAATAAAAAGTTTCTATGAAAAACCCAAATGCCCTAAAATGTACCCCGAAGAAGTTCAGCCCTCGAAAGGTTAAATAAAAATAATATATTTTGTATATTTTTAAGAATATTGGTAAACCGTTTTTCCTGAAATTTGGTACTCTTACACACATTTTAATGCCAAAGCGAATGGCGATAGTGCAAAATTCAGTAGCAGCCCTGAATGTAATAAATCTACCCAAATTACCCCTCTTTATCCTTATAGATAGAGTAATTTGAACAAATGATGTAAAAAGCTTTTTTACGTAAAAAATGCTCTTCATTTAGTTCTATCCAGTGAACGGGTTTCAAGATGTTTTTCGTGTAAATGTTAGTATGCCTCGATTTTAGTATGAGCAAAATGATTAAATGTAAAGAAATATTAAAAACTTTTTGTTTTATTTTTATCTGTAGAATCATCCACAAAAGTTAGATAGATACTATTTTTTGACACCCTGTATATTGTTTGACAGTGTATAGCGCTATTATTTTTAGCTGTTACATACACTGATGTTAAAGTTGAATGTCCAGATATAAAAGAAGACGATCCATCAGACGATATACCTTATGTTGATACTGAAGAATATAAAATTTTCTTCATCGACAAAGACATTTCATCGTTGAATCCGGTGAGTAAATAGGATTTTTTAGTTGAAAATTTTGACAATAAAGTAATCGCAAAACAATTTTGATGCACGTGATCAACTTTGAGTGACAAGATTGTGATGGATTGATGAGATGAATCTTAATGTAAAATTTACGTTTTATTTTTAATTTAATAATTAATATTTTAGTTATTAATTTATTTATTAGTAGTAGTCACTAACACTCACAGTAGAAATATTTAAATTTAAGGCAGCAGCAAAACGTTACAAACCGAAATAAGTAAAAGTAACTTTGAAAGTGGTATAATATGCTTACCAATCAAATTTACTTCTCTGACTGCAATCAAGGATAATATAGGAGCTTTATAGTTACGTTCTTGTTCAAAATAGTTAATCGGGTAAACTACAAGCTCTTTGCTGCGATTGTTTAAGGGCTTCGGCATATTTTCAACACACAATTTCAAGAAATGAAATATAAAAATTCGAAAATTTTCCTCTTACAGAACTATGCTTAAAAGTACAATTTATAAAAAAAACTATGAAAATCGGCAAAAAAAACAGAATTACTCCCAAAGATTCAACAACACGAGATTATACAAAATAACAACTGATATGATAATTGTCAAGTAATAAACGACAACGTTGCTGATCGCGGCGCAATGTGACCAACATAGTGATAATAAAAATAGCTTTAAACTAATTTTTGCAGCTTTAATCTAAATAAAATATCTGTTACAATCATTAGCTCTATAAAGTAAAATGAAGAGCTGCTCGGTATCTTAAATTACACAACAAGCTTAAACATTTTTGCCAAAAATTAATTTAGTCAGATTTATAGGCATCACAACCCTAGAAACACGCCTATGAGGTATTTTTCACGAAAAAAAAAAATTGAAAATTCGAAATTTTTTGAAAAATCTTTTTTTTAATTTTTAGTTAAATAACATAATTTCTTGATAATATGGCAACATAGGTAATAGATTAAATTTACAAGAAAGAAAATCCAGAAATGATCCAGTGGTTCTCAAGATTTGAGTAAAAAAATCATTTTTTTTTGGAAATTTTCAAAATAAAATAACTCCGTTATTTTGAACTTATTTGAAAAACGATAAAGGAAAAATATGTTTCTTTTATCGAGATCTACCACCCCTTAAAATACTTGCACTTATTTCCGGGACACGCTGTATAAGCAACAGAGGGCGTCACTAAAGGATAATATTCTAAACCTACCTAATTCTATGTTGCCGTAGTGTGACTTTGTACGTTAAATTGTTAGTTTTATTACATTTATTAAATATGTTAAAATATTGTGATTTATCATGTCATATAAACTTATTATACTGAGATATTAACTTTATTTTTTAATATTTTTCCCTTGTTTAAAAATATAAATTTAAACCGTAATATGTCAGTAGCTTATTCTCTACTTATCACTGCTAAAATTTGTTTGCACTCTGATGGCAATGTTTGGTACTTTCCATAAGTGACGATAGACGCGCAATTACTCTAAACTTTAAATATTCAATTTTAATTATTTGTTTTATAAAATTGACATTAAACTGGAAAACATACAAGCAACATAAAGTTGTATGAAGATTGATCTTTAATAATATTAAAAATATGCTTAAACACTGATATTCACGGGTACAATAGTTTGTCCAATGAGAGGAACCCTGTCATTTTTGTCTGTCATTGTAATTTGCAGGTAAATTGAATTTTCTGTCATTTTTTGGATGTCGTCTGTTGAAATCTTTTGCTCTTTACTTGTAAACTCAAGTTGACCATGCCATAAAAAATATGTAACGTTTGAGGTCAAATACCACCCCCACCATTAGAAGCAAAAAAAATAATTATTATCGAGGTGTACAATAAGAGTACAGCAATTCGTATGAGCGGATTTTCAAACATTACTTCATATCTGTATTATTTATTTCAGACATCTGATGGTACACCGGGGAAAAGGCCAGGTTCTAGCCAAGTAGATCTCGGAAATTGTCCACAGAAAAGGAAAAGAACGGCAGTATCGGAAGGTGAATCAACTAAGGGGGATAAGTCACATGAGTTAGGTAAATGCTGGACCACAATTCATCGCAAGTTGCTGCCCGAACAGCAGCGAATAGCCGAAAGAGCAATCATCAGCATTTTAAGCGAAGCCTGTCGCGGCAAACTCAACCAGAATTCAGTTGTGATTAACGGTGTTTCAATTAAGGATCTATAGTGTTCAAGAACACGTTCTTATTTCGAACTCTACTTGTCATGTGATAGCTTTAGGATTAAAATAATTGAGGGACCCACCAGAAAAGAATAACCTGTTACTCGGTTTTTATTTAAACATTTAAATATTCGAATGAAAAATGTTCTAATTTTGATACGTGGAAACCAGTGTCGTGCGGTCGATGGAAGTGGAGGCAGCACCAGAGGTTGAAACATAAAGAAACCAATATAATATATGTAATTTTGTTTGATAAAAAAGTGTTTACTTAATAAATTATTTTTATTAAAAAAGCAATTGATCCGTGTTGTACCTCAATAAAACGGTTTACAAATATTGATGTCAAAATATCGTACAAACAACTACAATAGAGAACAACGGCATACGGTCGAATCGGCCGCTGCTGGCACGTATACGTAGACGTAGAGAGTCTTTTACGTGTATAAAAAATAAAAAATATAAGAAATGCGCATGCGTACGTAAACGTTTACGTGTTTGTAGGCCGACTCGACCGTATGCCGTTGTTCTCTAATATGATCGAAAAAAAACTGCGTCAGCGATGGCTTTGAAACGATCGATGTCATTTTATATGTTAAAATAAATGGGGAATGTCATCGATCGTCATTTCCAAGCCAACTGGACGCCGCTTTTTGCGTACAGTAGGGTGAGCCAAAAAACTAATCTATGGAACTCATGGGTTAAAATGAACCTAATAACCGACAAAAAAATATCCCCGGAAGGCAGGATTTTTAATTCAATTTTAAAAGGTGTCGGTGAACATTCAAAGTTTCCCATTTAAATAACACGTAAAAAAATATTTTTCTATTAAAAGTACCATAACTTTGAAACGGTTTGCGATAAAAAAATTTTACATCGCCGATTCTTCTAGAGCATAAAATTTCCTAAAAAATCTGTTTTAAGAGTAATTATCTGAGAGTGATCTAGTTTTTTTGCTAAATATGAAAATTTTTAATCATTAAACATTAAAACTGCATATAATATTTTGTTTTTTTCACTTTTCAAAGCTTTCAAATATACGAATTATTGCATTTAAAACATTTTTATTATTTTATCTCTATGGCGAAATGATAAACATAATGTCATTTATATTTCCATTTCATATTTCAAAAATGTTTATTCTTATATGCAATAAAATGTATTTATAGTTATATTTTGATCACAGTTATAGCGGAACTACTTTAGAAAAAAACACAAAATTTTGTAAAATAAAGGTGGAATTTCTGTTTTTTTTTTAATTATACCGTCGATCGACGGTATTTACATATTTAGCAACAATCAAAGAGCAACAACGGTTGTGCTTGAAAAATCGACCTCCATGTTGTTATTTATGTTAATAAATATGTAAAACCGTCTACTCTTTCTTTCGTCCGTTGTCTATACCGCAGGATAAATATTATTTTTTGTGTGTGGCTGTGTGTGGCCAAATGGAAGTGGAGAGATTTATGGAAGTCCGTCAGTGACGTAAGCGTTTACGTACTCAGCAGAAAAACGTGACAGTTTTCGGCCTCTTTTTATTTTATGCCCAGCCCTGGGAGTTAAAGTATTGGTAGCACTGACAAGTAGATATCTGCTTCAATGGTTCTTTCTTCTTGATTGGTTTTACGGCCTAAGCTACCAGGACTATAAATACGACCAGGTGATCTTCTTGAAATCATTGGTTGAAATTATGACAGTTTTGAAATGTGCAAATTGTGAAATTAACCTCAATATCTGTCAATATCAACTGTTTTTGTGGGCAACGGCCCAGCTACGTCGAAACACCGGTTCCCACTAGAACACCGAAGTTAAGCGACGTAAGGCGATGCTAGTGGATGGACGGGTGACCGGTTCGAAACTTTGCATCGTGCTGTTGTCCAAAAGGGAAAAGTGTAAAATCTATTGATACACACTGCTCATTCACGCCGGTTCAAGGCCGGATGAGATCGGATATCTCGTGAGTAAGAGTTAATTTAGACACTTCCTAAGTCTGTAGGCCATTGACCATGATATGGCCGAGGACCGCGGTTCGGATTCCGCGTAAACAAGTAGGTCCCGTCCAGTTTAGCCATTGCAGCAGAAAGGAGACGTTAACTTGAACCTCAAAAAAAACTGTTTTTGTTTGTCAACATTACATTATATTATTTTCAATATTTTTCTCCGGTCTGGAAAGTGTCACAGTTGTGATAAATTTAATAGGGTTTTATAATAATGGTTTATGTTTGCCAAGCTTGTAACACAACACATTCCTTTAGAATTTGTTCTTTAATGGTAATAAGCGAGAGCTTACATTACTCACACGAGGCCGAAGCTTGCGTGACGATGCGAGAATGGCGGAAAACAAAATGTAATAGATCTGCTATGCGTGTGTGCATACCAGAGACAACATATGGTGCACGCTAGTTCATTATTTGTGTGCCTGCTTGAGGCGTGACCGACCGAGTCGTTGCGAGTCGAAAACGTGCGATCCGCTGGAAGACATCAGTTTGTCACAATGGATACTGGAAAATTAATTAATGAGGTGTTTTTGCGAACTCCTATATGGGATAAAACAAGTTTCACGCACTATAATCGAGATGTGATATTAAAATTGTGGGAGGAAATTGCAAATTCTCTTGGAGTGTCAAGTAAGTAGTACATGTTGATTTAGATTATTTTTACAATACAAAGCTAAATTTAATTGCAAAAGGCGTTTTTTTAAATTTCTACCATTGGTGCCGGGACAGTGTTTGAATAAAACATTTTTGAAGAAAAAATGGCATGCCACTGGTTTTTTGACACAACTTTCGTTTAGCTGAAATCAGTTATGTAAGAAATATTTGTTTATTTAGTAATTGTAAGTGGGGGCGTTTCCAAAATAGAAAGTTACGAACATTTTTCTGCAGAAATTGAGGCGGAAATGCATAATTTTCAGTTTTACATCTTTAGAATAGCTGAAACTAGTTACATAAAAACATGTTTCTGTTTTTCATTCTATACCTTAGTAACCAGAAAGCCGATCCCATTAGCCGCCAGAAAGCCGATCATTTATTATCATTTTCTTCCAAGTGCTTTTAGACATTCGAATGAAATTTTGAGGGTAAATGTTACTATAAGAGCGACATATTTTAATGCTAGAAAAGTGTCAACATATTCACCAGGAGAAGTGCATATGGGTTATCCCTGGAATATTTTTCTAAAAAAAATATGTGCGCTACTGACTTTTTTCTCTTATTAGCAAAATTGCGTAGACTACCAAATTGGCGATTGCCAATTAAAAGATGTCTCTTGATAGTTTGTCGCTTTCGGCAAAGTTTACAGAATACAATATAAGTTTCGTCACTTGTGCCGGCGGCAGGTATCAAAAGCCACTTCACGCACGTGTCTCCCAGTGTATTACTGGTGTGTGGACTTTGGACCCAGCATACACGGCGCGCGGCGGCTCACGTTTGGCGTATTACTTTTATTTCGACGTTATTACAGAGTGGTCTCGCATGCATATGCAATTATTTTTCGAGTGATTATCTAATTTTTATTGCAAAATGTTATCGATCACATTAGCCTTAGTTAATAGTTTATATTAATATCAAAAAAGCATAATTAATTTTATTATTTCTTGAAAAAGAAAAAAATATTGAGTTTTTCGCCATCGGAAAAAAATGGAAAATAAAAATATATTTTTTTAAACACCACTGCGTTAAATCTAAACAGATTGTCAGTAGTATTTTACTAGTACCTCTCGTCGTCTGAAGCAAAAAAAAAGCAAATAGCAAAGAAAAAAAACTATTTAAAATATCTAATTAGAATTATTCTAGAATACTTTTTTTTTCTTTATAAACCGTTCTGTTAAAATAACATTATGTGATGCCAAACTTCAAATTAACAATTAGTACCTGATAACCATTACTTAATAAGGTAAAACCAAAAGTCTTAAACTGTTCTATATAACTATATACTATATAATTTTTTGTTTGTTTTTAATTTTTACTTACGTTGTGTATTTATACTATGTTTATTAAATCAAAAAAGCGATAGCCGCACTAACACAGATACCTCAGATACTCTACAGACACCTGAACAATGTATTTATTTATATTAGATTGGATTAAAAAAGCCTCTTTTATTTGTATTTTTCTGTATTTTATATTTCTAAATTGTTATACTCGTATTTGATTCATGATTCATTAAATCACTTTCCCGCCGTATTTTGTTTAATCTATAAGAACAAATAAGTCTTTGTGTCAGGCCCTTACGAGGGCAACCTAATTGATTCGTATCGCAGACTGTTTATGTTATATTAACCGATCCGTTATATACAAAATGTATTGACTGCTTGGATTTTTGTTTTTTTAACTTGAGAATGTAAGGGCCAAAAAGTCTAATACTGTTTTAAGCCCCGTTCTCAGAACAACGTCGTGTCGCGGGCGACAGAGTTTGACATTTCAAACAACCAATGGGAGCTGTACTAAATTTAAAATTGACAGCTGTTTGAATTTTGTACAAATCTGATTGGTTCTTTTGTCGTGTCGCTGGCGACAGTCGCAGTTCTGAGAACGGGGCTTTAAGTCCCGTTCTCAGAACTGCGTCGTGTCGCTGGCTACACAGTTTGACACTTCAAACGACCAATGGGAGCTTTACTAAATTTAAAATTGACAGCTGTTTGAATTTTGTACAAATCTGATTGGTTATTTTGACGTGTCGCTGGCGACAGTCGCTGTTCTGAGAACGGGGCTTTAGACGGTGATACTTTAGTAACTGTTATTTGAAACCAGTGTTGCCAACTGCTAAAAAATGAAATCCCCTAGATCGATGCTTAAAATCCGCTAAATTTGATATTTTTCCGCTAAATAACTGGGTTTATAAATACATTATACATTAATGATATTGATGAAATTGCTTGTTATTGCTATCATTTAAAATTATTTTTAACTGAATAAATAAACGCAAGGTACTACTTGATATGTTAAAGTCTTTATTAACGGAGAAATACAAAAATAAAATTTAGGTATTCTCATTATTACCTATAATATCTAAAAACAACTCAAAAAAATAAAATAACAAATTCAAATCACGTATTTATAGTGAGATCTATATTAAAATCAATCATCATGTCATCCTTATCATCATAACATTCTTTGGTACCTATTTTGTTAAGGACATCAAGAGGTAAGATATATTCATTGCAACACTTATCTAACCTTTTTAGCCCATATCTTACCGAAAGTATTGCATCAAAGTGGACTTGCGTTTTCCGCTAAAAAATCCGCTGGCCGCAACTGCTTATGGTGGGTTCATACAGCCAAATAAAATAAAATAAGAATAAAATAAAATAAGAAATAAGGAATTCTTATTTGTGTGCGTTCATACAGTCAAATAAAATAAAATAAGAAATATATATTTGCTCATGCGCAGTACGATGAGGCTGGATAAAAGTTAACTTTTACGATTGTTTATAGT